GCACATACATGTAACTCAAAAAATTTACAGTGAAATCAGCCCAAGCACACAGCATAATGTCATCAATACATGTAGGTATTAAAAATGTAATAAAAATTGGGGGTGATTTCAGAGCCAATTTAGCAAAAAAAACCATGGGCTATAGCCTTAGGTATTTTTAAAATTTGGCCAATTTGTTAAAATGTTAATAACTCAAAAAATTTAAGTCGGAATCAGTTCAAACTTTCTACACAGCATAAGGACATCAATATGTATCAGAAAATGTAATAAAAACTGGGGGTCATTTTGGAGCCATTTTTTGCAAAAAAACCAAGGGCTATAGCCTTGGGTGCTTCTCAAAATTTAGCCAATTTTTAAAAATGTTCATAACAAAAAAATTTAAGTCGGAATCAGTTCAAACTTTCTACACAGCATAAGGACATCAATATGTATCAGAAAATGTAATAAAAACTGGGGGTCATTTTGGAGCCATTTTTTGCAAAAAAACCAAGGGCTATAGCCTTGGGTGCTTCTCAAAATTTAGCCAATTTTTAAAAATGTTCATAACAAAAAAAATTTAAGTCGGAATCAGTTCAAACTTTCTACGCAGCATAAGGACATCAATATGGATCAGAAAATGTAATAAAAACTGGGGGTCATTTCGGAGCCATTTTTTGCAAAAAAACCAAGGGCTATAGCCTTGGGTATTTTTCAAAATTTAGCCAGTTTTTTTAAAATGCTCATAACTCAAAAAATTTAAGTCAGAATCAGTTCAAACTTTCTATGCAGCATAATCCACAAAAATTGCACAGCTTGAAACAAACCACTCATACAGTATTTTGTTAGGCGCTTTACTATACACAGATAGCATGGAATACATCATAATGTATATTATACATCAAAGATAATCAGATTACATGTACATGTACATATACAGTACAATTCCCAGTATATTATACCTGGATCTCCCACTAGTAGTAAGTGACAGTCACCTCTAACACGAGTGCCAGACTCATCAACATACTACAATAAATGAATTTATACATTACTTCACAATTTACAATATAATGGCTATAGTAGATGCTACATTATAATGGAGACTTCATGAAATACAGACAGTAACTGTGCTTACATGTACATGTACATGTA